AGAGACAAATAGACAGGAGGACATTAAGAGACAGAGACAGGAGGACATTAAGAGACAGAGACAGGAGGACATTAAGAGAAAAATAGACAGGAGGACATTAAGACACAGAGACAGGAGGACATTAAGAGACACATAGACAGGAGGACATTAAGAGACAAATAGACAGGAGGACATTAAGAGACAAATAGACAGGAGGACATTAAGAGACAAATAGACAGGAGGACATTAAGAGACAGAGACAGGAGGACATTAAGAGACAGGAGGACATTAAGAGACAAATAGACAGGAGGACATTAAGAGACAAATAGACAGGAGGACATTAAGAGACAAATAGACAGGAGGAAATTAAGAGACAGAGACAGGAGGACATTAAGAGACAGAGACAGGAGGACATTAAGAGACAAATAGACAGGAGGACATTAAGAGACAAATAAACAGGAGGACATTAAGAGACAAATAGACAGGAGGACATTAAGAGACATAGCCAGGAGGACATTAAGAGACAGAGACAGGAGGACATTAAGAGACAAATAGACAGGAGGACATTAAGAGACAAATAGACAGGAGGACATTAAGAGACAAATAGACAGGAGGACATTAAGAGACAGAGACAGGAGGACATTAAGAGACAGACACAGGAGGACATTAAGAGACAAATAGACAGGAGGACATTAAGAGACAAATAGACAGGAGGACATTAAGAGACAAATAGACAGGAGGACATTAAGAGACAAATAGACAGGAGGACATTAAGAGACAGAGAGACAGGAGGACATTAAGAGACAGAGACAGGAGGACATTAAGAGACAAATAGACAGGAGGACATTAAGAGACAAATAGACAGGAGGACATTAAGAGACAAATAGACAGGAGGACATTAAGAGACAGAAACAGGAGGACATTAAGACAAATAGACAGGAGGACATTAAGAGACAAATAGACAGGAGGACATTAAGAGACAGAGACAGGAGGACATTAAGACAAATAGACAGGAGGACATTAAGAGACAAATAGACAGGAGGACATTAAGTGACAGAGACAGGAGTACATTAAGAGACAAATAGACAGGAGGACATTAAGAGACAGAGACAGGAGGACATTAAGAGACAAATAGACTGGAGGACATTAAGAGACAGAGACAGGAGGACATTAAGAGACAGAGACAGGAGGACATTAAGAGACAAATAGACAGGAGGACATTAAGACACAGATAGACAGGATGACATTAAGAGACAAATAGACAGGAGGACATTAAGAGACACAGAACAGGAGGACATTAAGAGACAGATAGACAGGAGGACATTAAGAGACAGAGACAGGAGGACATTAAGAGACAAATAGACAGGAGGACATTAAGAGACAAATAGACAGGAGGACATTAAGAGACAGACACAGGAGGACATTAAGAGACACATAGACAGGAGGACATTAAGAGACAAATAGACAGGAGGACATTAAGAGACAAATAGACAGGAGGACATTAAGAGACAGAGACAGGAGGACATTAAGAGACAGATAGACAGGAGGACATTAAGAGACACATAGACAGGAGGACATTAAGAGACACATATACAGGAGGACATTAAGAGACAAATAGACAGGAGGACATTAAGAGACAGAGACAGGAGGACATTAAGAGACACATAGACAGGAGGACATTAAGAGACAGAGACAGGAGGACATTAAGAGACAGAGACAGGAGGACATTAAGAGACACATAGACAGGAGGACATTAAGAGACAGATAGACAGGAGGACATTAAGAGACACAGAGACAGGAGGACATTAAGAGACAAATAGACAGGAGGACATTAAGACACAGAGACAGGAGGATATTAAGAGACAAATAGACAGGAGGACATTAAGAGACAAATAGACAGGAGGACATTAAGAGACAGAGACAGGAGGACATTAAGAGACAAATAGACAGGAGGACATTAAGAGACAAATAGACAGGAGGACATTAAGAGACAGAGACAGGAGGACATTAAGAGACAGATAGACAGGAGGACATTAAGAGACACATAGACAGGAGGACATTAAGGGACACATAGACAGGAGGACATTAAGAGACAAATAGACAGGAGGACATTAAGAGACAAATAGACAGGAGGACATTAAGAGACAGATACAGGAGGACATTAAGACACAGAGACAGGAGGACATTAAGAGACAGGAGGACATTAAGAGACAGAGACAGGAGGACATTAAGAGACAAATAGACAGGAGGACATTAAGAGACAGAGACAGGAGGACATTAAGAGACACATAGAGAGGAGGACATTAAGAGACAAATAGACAGGAGGACATTAAGAGACACATAGACAGGAGGACATTAAGAGACAAATAGACAGGAGGACATTAAGAGACAAATAAACAGGAGGACATTAAGAGACAAATAGACAGGAGGACATTAAGAGACAGAGACAGGAGGACATTAAGACACAGAGACAGGAGGACATTAAGAGACAGAGACAGGAGGACATTAAGAGACAAATAGACAGGAGGACATTAAGAGACAAATAGACAGGAGGACATTAAGAGACAAATAGACAGGAGGACATTAAGAGACAGAGACAGGAGGACATTAAGAGACAGAGACAGGAGGACATAAGAGACAGAGACAGGAGGACATTAAGACACAGAGACAGGAGGACATTAAAGAGACAGAGACAGGAGGACATTAAGAGACAAATAGACAGGAGGACATTAAGAGACAGAGACAGGAGGACATTAAGAGACAGAGACAGGAGGACATTAAGAGACAAATAGACAGGAGGACATTAAGACACAGAGACAGGAGGACATTAAGACAAATAGACAGGAGGACATTAAGAGACATAGACAGGAGGACATTAAGAGACAGAGACAGGAGGACATTAAGAGACAAATAGACAGGAGGACATTAAGACACAGAGACAGGAGGACATTAAGACAAATAGACAGGAGGACATTAAGAGACAAATAGACAGGAGGACATTAAGACACAGAGACAGGAGGACATTAAGACAAATAGACAGGAGGACATTAAGAGACAGAGACAGGAGGACATTAAGAGACTGAGACAGGAGGACATTAAGAGACAAATAGACAGGAGGACATTAAGAGACAAATAGACAGGAGGACATTAAGAGACAGAGACAGGAGGACATTAAGACAAATAGACAGGAGGACATTACGAGACAAATAGACAGGAGGACATTAAGTGACAGAGACAGGAGGACATTAAGAGACAAATAGACAGGAGGACATTAAGAGACAGAGACAGGAGGACATTAAGAGACAAATAGACTGGAGGACATTAAGAGACAGAGACAGGAGGACATTAAGACAAATAGACAGGAGGACATTAAGAGACAAATAGACAGGAGGACATTACGTGACAGAGACAGGAGGACATTAAGAGACAAATAGACAGGAGGACATTAAGAGACAGAGACAGGAGGACATTAAGAGACAAATAGACTGGAGGACATTAAGACAAATAGACAGGAGGACATTAAGAGACAAATAGACAGGAGGACATTAAGTGACAGAGACAGGAGGACATTAAGAGACAAATAGACAGGAGGACATTAAGAGACAGAGACAGGAGGACATTAAGAGACAAATAGACTGGAGGACATTAAGAGACAGAGACAGGAGGACATTAAGA